AAAAGACGGCTGGTGCAAGCACACGAATCGGCCTGTTCATCACACAAAAACCAAACATACCTATAATACGACTATACAGTATAATAAGATAACATAGCCCTTTTATAGCTAGTTAAAGTAACATCTTAACAGTCCGGTGAACGTTATTCACCCACTCACCCATCATCGTTCAAGACCGTCTACGGTTTCAACTAGACGAACCCTTTATGGAAATCTCAACGCGTGTTTAATTCGGTGTAAATGATTTTGTAATGTTGCGTTATCTATACATTTTATGTATATTTATATATACCTATATACATTGTACATAATATCTGTGTGTACAGTGTATACATGTATATAGCGTTCAGGTAGGTATATACAAACATTGTGTACTTACCTATATTATAAATCTCGATACTTACATTACTTTTGGGGATTTTACCTTCCCCTCAAGGGTATATCTTCAATGCACAAACACACAAACGCACATTATTGTGCATATATATACATATATATAATATGTAGGTTTATCATATAATATTAGTGCCACGGCTGTATATATGTAGGTCCTATACCAACCAAAGTCGATATAATCTAAAGTATCGTGCTCGTGACTCGTCCAGTCGGCTTATCGCAACGATCGTTTTAATGCGCGTTCCCTCTGCCAATTAACTCTGCGGACGACAAAACTTTTTCCGACCCGAATCCTACAGATATTTTCCTATCTCGAATGGGGTAAATAAAACGAAAACACAAAAAAAAGACGTAATTAGAATTAGTAATTAAAATTTCCTCCGCCCGTTAAGGAACTGTATTCTCAATGCACGTGTTCAATCATAACGGAATTAAAAATAATGTGAATACAATTAAATGAAACATGAGGAAAAAAAGTGTATGAAAAGATATATTTTACCATATGTTAGTAATTCGTCGTCTCGCTAAAGGTTCGTTTCGGAACAAGCTGTTAGGTTAGGTGTAAAAAAAAAATATTTAAACAATATGTGGTTATAATAATAACTGGTTGAAAATAAATGTTATTTGTGTTATTACTTATAGTGCATAGAATTTTAAAAGTATACATTACAAATGTAATGCATTTATTTATTTTCAAATTAGGTAGGTAACTATATTATTAACTATTAACATTTATCTATTGGTTAGTAGTGCACATTTATAAATTATAAACGTTATTTTATACTTTATATTTTTTAAAGTATAAAACAACACATAACTTATATACTTTTCAATTGTTATTTAATAAATTATTTTTAACATTTTGGCTTGAAATTAATAGTGTTATACTGTTGACCGTTGCCGTTGTTGTATTAACAATAATATAGACAATTGTTGGCTATTCGTTTTGGAGTTCAACTAAAAAAGCTAAATCGATTTTATCGAAAACTAGTTTTGAGTAAAAATTCCCGTTTTTCCCTAATTTTATTTTTGTTTTTCTCAGTTCATCGTTCCACTCAGATTCTAAAATTGAATATTATAATAAATATTTTTATGCTTTAAACAAACAATACATTTTATTTTATAATGTCATCCATTAAAATAAATTGAGATGGTTTAACACATTGATAAATTCTTAGAATGCGTATGAAATAAAGTTATTATGAAATGTACCTATAGATAAACTTTTATATAGTGACTATGTGCATTGTACATTGTGCACACAACATACTACATGTTACTAAATAGGGTTCTTTCCCCCATTTTTTGTGCTGTGTAAAAACAACTAAATCAAAACAAATAGGTCATTTCCGCTTTCTGTTTGGCCCAATATGACATGTTGAACCTATGATACGCAATATATGCAATTATTTGAACTACATTTATTTTATTTTACTATGATGAATACTATTTTACAAATGTGTTAGTTTATTAAATTATTTTCAATTCATAATTTAAAATTAATAAAATATTGCAAGGTTTCAACTTTCAAGGAACTCCACCTATTTTTAGTTACACTTGGTGTAATAATAATTTTATATTATTTAGTAAAGTATAAATTATAAAATTAGTAAATACGTTTTGTATGTATACAATATATAGGTACGTAATTGTAAAAGACACGTGTAAAATTGTAAATAGACGCAGATATATGCAGCATTGAAATTTACTCAATAACAATTTTACCCGAGTGTAAATTAAAATTTAAAAATACATTCCTCGTAGTAGGTATTTCTCTGCGGAACACTGAGCTACATCGATCTAAACGGAATATAAAATAATATAATCATTGTAGGCGCACCTACTATAGGTACGTCTATCTAGCTAAAATGTTTTAGTCTTAATTTTGTTGAACTTATGTTATATAATTATTGTAGACTTGTGGCGTGTCACATACTCCATAGGTAATATAATATGTACCTATCTAACAAATTTAAAAACCCATTGTTTTTTATTATGATAAAATGTATTATATATATATACCGGGAGCACGGGAATTAATTAAGTGTTTTGGGGTCAGCATACACACGCACACACACAAATGTTATATATGTTGTACACAGTTAGATTCACCAATGGTGGGATATTCACCGCGTTTTTGGCCGTGTTCCCCGTACACCAGACATTATATGTGTATATGTTCAGTATTATGAGATCATTGCCGCATAGCCCCCAAAAGGGATCAGCTTTAATCTCGTTCCTGGACCCTCGACCGTCGTTTATATACCTGCGATCACAATATTTGCGCAAAACAGCTTCAGGTTTTTTTCCATTAGCTTTGAACATTTGTCCAGTGCTTAAGTGCGCGGAGCATTTTGAAATTCTGCCAACCAATAAATTCCCAAATTTAATGATTGAGATTAAAATAAGCACAATTAGGCGCACACGAAATCGCATGTACCCATATGCAATACATTTTGATTTAGCATAATTTTAACTTTTAAGCCAACGGCAGCCATATTATTGCCAGCAGACGTTTATTTGTTTGCCATGTCGTATATGGTGGTGTAGGTATATTTGAATCTTGGAAAAGTTTCCTATGAATCGTAGGGTTTATTCTGAATACTAAAACATCAATACTTCCACCAAAATAGGCATTATTGTTTGACCTGGAGACGGTGGAAATGTGATTTTGCATTCAATTCACATGCAAAATGAATATATATAAATATATAAGAAACAATAATAGTGAATAATGTTACCGGAGAGGGGGGTGGTGTTGCCAAAGGGGTGCTCAGTTTTTTTTTTACTTCACTGTGCAATTTCTTTTCATCTCCACCAAAAATTGTATCCAGTTAGAGTCCAACTCATAATAAAAGCATTTCATAATGGTAAGCCCCGGGCGAAAAATTAAAGAAGATAATGAAAAAATCTAAAGGGGGTAAGGTTTTTGTCAATTGTTTTTTTTATTTTCTCATTCATTATTTATTTATTTTGTTTTCAAAACTTTTCGCTTTTTACAAGAATATTTTTTTTTCTATACAAATACGTACTATCATGAAACATAATGCTATATAAAATGTTTAACGAACATCCGTATTTACTACATATCAAAATGCATGTAATTATAATGTTCGTATTTCAAACTACTAGAACTGCATTATTTTTAAATTATTTCTATTTGATAACTCAAACAAAAAAAGTTGATGACATATCATGGTGTATGATATGTATGTTTTTAAATGCATTGATTTATTTTGCAGACCTTAAGTACTATATAAATATGGGCCATGTTCATCGGACATAAAATAACTCTAAAATCATATACATTATTTATAAAATCATGAACAATTTCTTTAACTAATCTCTTATTGAACATAATTATGACAAATGATGGGCTTCTGGATTACTTAATATTTATGACAATCATAAATATATTATATATTGCATCCATCGGGTGTCGAATAATAATTAGAATAAATTAAACATTTTCTGAGGTGACTGAAATTGAAAAATGTAAGGATTTCTGTCATTTCAGAACAGTTAGAGTAACGAATAAATTATTGTGCTACTTGTATCGAGTTTCAATATATTTATTACTTTCAGCCGTCAGCTATAAGTACAAAAGTACAATAGTATTTTTTTTTTTTTGTAACGATCTCTGATTCTTTTAACTGAATATCAGATTTCAATAAGGACACATTGACTTTTATTCTACGCAATTACATTTTCGTCTTTGGAATATTTAAACCTATTAACTTATTTCGAACCAGAAAAATTCAATTGAATATAGTATATTATTGTTCATTACATAAAGTGTTCAGATTATGTTGGCTATTTTAAAATGTAAGCAAAAAATGTTTTTGTAACCTAACCACGATTGTCCACTATATTTAAATAAATGTGATCCCAAGTATTATTATTGAGCAGAAAGTCTATTTTTATTAGTTGGATGTCCCCGATTAAAATATTTTAAGACATAATAATGTTGCTTTAATAAATTTAATAGTCTTACTGTATAGTAATCTGTATATTGTGTAAACATTTATTTTGTTCTAAAATTAATGGCGTTTAGTATAAATTATTTTAGTTTTGATATTTTTGTGTTTATTTTGTCTGCTAAAACATTGTATTATATTATATGCTCCAATATTTATAAAATTAAAATAAGACTCAACTGATAAAACCACACTTTAAAGTGTAAAGTGTTTGAAACGTCTAAAGCTTGTTACAATTTGTTATGAACTGAAATAATTAAGTGTGGAACTTTACTCCCCGGACAGTCGTTAGGATAAAGAGAATCTCGTTTTATATACATATTTTTTCGTATAATAATAAGGAAGTTTTTATTGTTGAAGAAAAGATGTTTGTGAATACCATTCTAGAAATTATACTCTAAAAATGATAACAGTACCTAATTTTAATGAACAAGATTTAAGTTACCCAACTTGGATATAAGATTCTGGCAATCCTAAAGTGCTATTATTATAATATTATTTAAGTCTCAACACCTTTATTATAAAGTGTACGTACCTACCTAAACATACATAAAACAAGTTATTATAATTTGCGTTGTTTAATATGATGTTGAGTCTAATAAGTACCCATATATTAGTATTAACTACCTGCATGAATCCTCCTTGACAATATGTTCCATTGACTAATACTCCAAATTTAAATTTTTTAAATCTAATTCGAAGAATATAGTCTTTAGGCGTTCCTTTAAATGAACGAAATCTGTATGAACAGTAAAGTGGTTTGCCAAAATTCGATGACGTTACTTCCGGACTAGTGATATCTTCATAGATATCAACAGTTTTATTGCAATGATCTATTCTGCCTGAAAAATAAACACTGAATTAGTATAATTTAGTTTCATGTAAATACTTTATTGATTTATAATTAGTTTTTAAATAAAGTTGCTTAAAAAAAATAGTTCATAAGTAGGTACTGTATTTGTATGGAACATTATTATGCGTATAATCGCATTCTTTAAATTACTATTTATTTATTTTCATTAAACTGGTAGGATCCCTAATAGTACAATTTCACACTAATACTATTTGATAAACAATAGAAATAATAATTATATCACAAATAATAATTGTGCATATATATTAACAAGTATATACTCGTGTAAAAAATAAATCTTGTATAATCTGAATAACGGAGGGTACTCATTAGCCAAATGCATCATCCAATAAACTGGATTTTTTACTGTATTATTTTTACCATAATCTGTGTAATAAAAATTAATGCTAAGGGATAGTAAGATCTTGTGAAACGAGCAGGAAGTCTAAAATTAATTTGAAATGAGAGAAGAAGGCAAAGAGTTCTCAATATGTCCAGATATAAACTTAAGCAAGAAAAACATGTTAGCTGTCAAATGTCTATCTGTAAATGAATTAAGCCCAAGCAGATTTGTAACAGGCTAGATAATTGAGCGGAGTATGTTCAATTTTTAAAATATAAGCGACTGATGATAAAATAACGCCTCTGAACTCACTCTAAAAGTAAGAAGTATGTTGCCTTAAACGGATCCCAGAGAATAGATGCATATTCCAATATGGACTGAACAAAAGAGCAGTGTACTGTTTTGAGCGAGGAGGACAGTTTAAAGCTCTTCGAGGTATGAACTGTTAAACCTAGGGTCTTAAATGCTTTACTGCACACTGTTTCTGTGTGCTACCAAATTAAGATTTGAACAGAATATAATACCTAGGTATTTTTTAGTAGTGACCCAAGTCAATACCTGGGTTACGTAGGTACGTAGGTATTAGTGGGTATATTATACATTATAATACTTTGATTGAATAATACGTAAATTATTGTAAGCATAATATGAACTTACAGTAAGGTTGATTACATATACAATTAATGGAATATGAAACAAATACCTACGAGGTGGTTTTAAAGTACCTACTTAAGAGGACGCTACGCCCGCATGCGTCGTCTCCGGGCGTCTTACAGACGCATGATAAACCAAATTGTACGTTCTGAACTTCTGAATAATCTATTTAACTCTGTTATGTAAGCTTATGTTTAATATTATATAAGAGTGAACTCACTCATATAAAAGCTGTAACAGATGGACCTGATAAAAAAAAAAAAAAATGATGCTACCTTATCGTTGGACAAATTAAAAAATATACTCATGTCGGCAGATTTCCTAAAATTATATTTGAAAAAAATTATTACGTTCCAAATGAATTTAATCAAAAATATATTGATATTTTAAAAAATTCTAAAAAATAAACTACTCGACTTAGATAAATGTTTTTACGATCAAAATTGTTCTTATAATCGGAATCACAGATTGGCTTTTTTCTAAACTTATCCAAAAACATTTAGTTACATTTTTATATTCAGTATTAAAAAGTAATAATAATTTTTTTATACTAAACATATAGCGCAAGTGACTATAAATTATATTTAAAAAAAAATTACAAAATATTGATCATAACAGAAGTTATTGCATTAGTCAGTTCTTTCTGTTGCACTCTGTATGGTACTCAAATTTAAAAGTAAGACTGTTATCTAGTGAATCTTATTGGTTTTTGTTAATATTTTATTTTTAAATCGAGTTATGCGTGTCTTAAAAACGTAATTGGTTTGTAGAAAATGTTTCGTTTATAGCTGGTAGGTAATTCAAATGTATTATATTAAATAAGTACTAATAATAAAACCGTTCTTCGAAATGTATTGTCGTTTGTCAATTTATTGTGTTAAAATGAAGAAAATATTAACCACCCAGAAAATGTCTTATACAATTATATTTATACCTGTACAATATTATTGTAAAATGTACAGAGGGTACTTACAACATTTTCATTAATCTGTCGCAAAGGTGAAAGCCTTTCGAGAATGATTAATAGATGGTAAATCGACCCCTAATAAATTAATCATTTGGTGACTCGTGTTCAATCAACTAGGTTTTGCTTATTTGTTGAAACTTTGAAGTTAAACTTAAAACCCCATGAAAAGTAAAAATAAGTTATTTATGTCATTATATATATATATTTGTATTGTTAGCCACATTGTTTTGAGTTTCTATTTAGATACATTGACATATTCATCAGCAGTGAATAAGACATAAAAAAAAAATTATTTCTGTTTTTTAAACACATTAAGATAATATCATTGTTTTTAATTTCCCCATTTCGTAAAATTTAAAATTTAAAAATAATGGAAATAATTTCAAAAAATGCCATTGACGAAAATCAATTAACGAATAGAATAGGTACCTGACCTACAATAATTATTTTTCTTAAACTAGAAATCAAAAATATTTTAAGTTCATAATGAAGAATATACTAACTTAGATTATAGTTTAAGTATAAGTAAAGAGCATACAATATTGCAATGTAATGTATTTTTAAATACCATCCATAAAATACCTATTTCTTTTGATTACATTTAAAATACATAATAACAGTTAACAAACCAGTTACTCATTGTTTGATTTTTGTACATCAAAATGTTTAAGGAACAATAATATTATTAACATTGGTGACTAAATTTTTTATTTTGAGATGGAATCTGATTTTGAGTGACTCGGTAGTTGGTCATACTACTGTACTTTAGAAATAAAAGTTGACAAATGGTTTAAGGATTTTTCTAATATAAAGTTTAAGTACATTTTTTTGTCCACCTGTGCGTATATAATATTATAAATATGTAATTAATAAAATAAATAAACTGAAAACCGTTGATGAGTTTGTTATTTTAAATACAAATTAAAAACAAAGATAATAAATGAACGTTTGTTTTTCAAGAATACTAATTATGAAATAGAGCTTTCATTATAAAATGTTTGTAAATAATTAACGGTATACATTATCTCAAAGCATTTATCTTAATTACAAATAGGTAGGTATCTTAATTTAGTACACATTTTATTTTAATGAAAAACTTCAATCATGTGCAGTAAAATGGCGGTTCATTGTAGATTATATTTTTGGTAAAAAATGTTATACAATATGTCAATAAATTATAAGGTTTGATAAATATAAATGTAAAAACATTATTATTTTCTAATCTATGTTACTCATTAACCTACCTATTATAACCTATGATTTTCATAAATGTAAACACTGTAACCAAAAAATCTAAAAATAAATAAACATAGTTATTTTTTACAGACATTTTAAGTTCAAATTTAGACGAAATTACATATTAAAACCAAGGATAATGATTTAATTATTTTGTTGTAATTTAATAATATTGTTCATAGGTACTTGAGACGTTTAGATTACATTAATATTTTGTATACAGTTTACACACAATGATATTTTCAACTGAAACTTTTTTACCAAAAATTAATTTAACCTAGGTGCTATAGTACAAATGTCTAATAGTAATATAAATTACTTTAATCACCATAATAGCACACAATTTAGTTTTCGCTCAGAATCGTTTCTCGTATACAATGATCATCAAATTCAAATTTAACACAACCATTACTATGACTTTCTAGACACCTAACGCATACTATCCACTTACTCGATTTTTTTTTTTTGTCGATTTATAGTTTGTGTAGATAATAAATATTATGTTTGAAAATATTCATCATCACAAACTCTCATTATGAACGTCTTAAAAATATTAATGTTAAAAATATATTCGTTCGCTTATTTCCGACAGACTAGGTCGTTAAATCATTTTCGGAAATTAAAAATATAGTCTTTCCATTGAAGGATATACTTTAAAATGTAAATATACGAAATATTTAAAGTGTTTTGTATTTAGTGTACATTTAAAATGATTAAAATTGTACAAAACGTGTTTCGAAATACAACATAAAGTACTTAATGCATTTTGAATACGTATTCCACATAGAAATGTAATTGAAATATACTGTACAACGCGTATAAATGTATAATGTTACTCGTATTATAATGTACCTATTACATCCTACGACGACGGACAGAAATTGTTTTGATAAATTCATAATTTATATATGCACTCATAATATATGGATCTTACATGACATCAAATCAATTTCACGTATACACTACATAGTAGTGGTGTATTAATTTAAAATTGCTCGTATTTCGGATACTGCATTGTGTCATATACAGAGTGAACCGAAAACCATGCTTACCAATTTTTTTTATTCAATAATGCAGTTATGCGAAATCTGAATTTTGAAATAATTAAATGTGCTTAAGTCCTGCAGGCTTTAAAATTCTTGAGATTTTTTTTCCTCTTGAGAAGTGTCCTGTGGAGATAAATAATATTTTGCGTTTCAAATGAGAACAACCCCTCTTCTATTAATAATAAAAATAACTTAATTTCGAATAAATTCGGTGAAAATTTTAAACCAAATCTAAATAAAAATTTGAACGAGTAGTTTTTGTTATTTGACTTTGTGTACAAAGGGATAATTGGCTCATTATGATAGGTAAATAGGTTTTGACTATTTGAGAAAGCTGGGTTTGGGGATTTGAAAATTGCAGTAATTAATATTAATCCATCAAAATGTATAATTTGTAAAAATGGCCAAGATGTTAAATACTAAATCCAATATTATATCTATTTTATATTTATATAAAACCATTTTTAAGAACTATTATCCTTAGTATAAACATTATAGTAGCTGAGAAACTATTCGTTAGTATTTTGATTTAGGGAAACCAAAATTAAAAAAAAAATGATCCACTAAATAATTTACTGTATAAAAGTAGTGTTCTCATTTGCAAAGCCGTGTAAAGTATGTATTACTATTCACCACACAAAACTCCTTGAATAGGTAGAAAGAGAAGAATCTCAATAATTTGAAAATATGCAAGTCTTTAAGTATTCTATTTTACGAATGAAAAAAATCACAATTTGAATAAA